AATATTTAAGTAAACAAAAGGCTAGCTATTAGTTATACAAAAAACAACAGGCTAGCATGAGCTAACATGTTTTACTTTTTGTATTAGTAGTACTGATCACATATTTGCATACAAATTGATTTCTGTTGTGAGTATAAAAACAAAAACAAAAAAAAAATGTATTCTGTTATGTTTGGTCACATTTTCAAAGAGCCACTGCAGAGGGACCAAAGAGCCACATGTGGCCCCAGAGCCACAGGTTGCAGACCCCTGCCTTAGCTTCTTTCTTGTCTACCATGTTTAGTTACTCTGAACTCACGTTTGATCTCGAGATGTCTCACAAGATTTCCTGTTTGTCGTCTGATTTTTCTTGTGTGGTGTACGCCACCTAACCTGTTTTATCTATGATTATTTTGTCGTCACGTGTGGGGTCTCTTAAGTTTTGAAAAACAGTCTAAAATTTTTAAATATTGTATAAACCAGGCATTAGGCAACCAGTCAGGCTTTTAGCTAGACATTGGGTCATCTTTTGGACACCCTGTTCGATTTTCTGAAGCGTCAGGATGCCCTCAGGGCACCGTTCCAATCTCCGAGTTCGCCACTATTTAACAGGCAGTTCTGTCCGTAAGTTGCCTGCCTCCCCCCCGTACATTTTGTAATCTTTCATAAGCGGCAAGAGGGTGACCACAATTATTTTATGATGCCAAGAATAAATTGTGTCAGCTTTGATAGAAGAGGGTAGCAATGTTTGTTGTGTGTTGTTGTCACATTCTCTGGTCCTGGTCCTTTCATTTTTTTCCCCTAATAGGGTTGAGTAAAATCGTAACAGGTGCAATTAACTGTCAGGAAAAATGTCAACAACTAATATTTTCCACTTAACAGTTATTGCAACTAGGTGTACATGTCAGCCCAGTGGTAGAAGTGTAGCAGCTAACGCTAACCCTGCAAACTTGTTTAATCACCTGAAACACCGACATAAACCAGAGTAAGAAGAAGGCCAGAAGGTGTGGAGCAAGGCCACAACGTTGGCTACATGCAACTGCAGTTCATCTAATAATCAGCATATTAATTGTTATCTAAATGCTACTATTAATTGTAATAAATCTTTTTGCTTATATCGCCCGACCCTACCCACTACATAAATTTTGTAAACTTCTGTAAGCTTCATAAGTGGTGGATGGTGTTGGGGTGCTTAAAGGGTCAACAGCGCCTTTCAATAACRTGTGTAAAAGTCTGCAACCAGCTGTAGCATGAGCTCCATCATTTCTCCCATTTTGTTCTTCCTGTTCATCTAAGTAGAATAATATGGGTTCATTCCAGTAATGTGGTGATTAGAGTCCTATTTCTTGCTCACTCATTATGTTGCTGAATCCCTTAATTACTCCTGAGGTTAATTGTAGATGGACAGTCTGACAAACAACATAAACAGACAAAGTTGTACGCCCACTACCCCTTTAGTGTTGCTCTGATGGCTTCATAATGTGTCACACATGCAAAAACACATGCTCTGAGGAATTCTCTCGTGTCATTTTCTGTTCCTGTAAACTCTAAGTACAAGTTTTCTGCCAGCATGCTGTGGCTCATGAGTCTGTGTGTGTTCTGGGAGACCAGTCAGGGAGTAGAATTTCTCTGGTGGGTTCTGCTGTTAAAGGTCAGCTGTAAAATCATCCAAGGTGACTCAGCTGCTTGTTGTTTGAAAGTTGCGTGCATCGTACGTGCTGGAGCACTTTCTTTTTCTCCGCTAAATAACTATGCTGTCCCAAAGGTTTTGTATTCATGCTAAACCCGAGTTGCTCTTCTGCAGTTTTTAGTGTGTCTGCATTCTTTTAAATAGTTCATGATCTTTTGACCAGTGGGTAAAACTGTTTGTCAGTGGCCAATATACAGACATGATGACAGTTTTATGTTTGTCTTGAACAGGAAAACTGTATCAAAAGGTTTTCTTCTCATTTAATTTAATCTCATTTAGTTTATTACAGGCTTTCTTGACTATAGTTGTTACTGTTAAATGAAATTGTACAGCACTCTGAAAATGATTTTCTGAATGTCAGATTTTTTTCTTGGCTGCTTTTTTGCCCATTCCTTATACTTTACCTGACTTAATTACAGCATCTTGTGCAGGGTGTATTTTAAAAATGAGGAAAGGGGACAAGAGGGGGACACCAGAACTGTCAGATCTAAAAATGATCTCATGTCTTTCAGAAGTAGCAAATAAATAAATAAATTAAATGGTAAATAAATCCAACAAATCCCTGACTAAGTATCTTGGAAATGCATCACACTTCAGTTGATCCTTATGTTAAGTTTTCAGCTAACAGGGTGCATCAAGTCAGTGTTTCCCCTACCATTATACAGCCCCCCCCCACCCCGCCAACGAGATGGCCCGCCCCTCTAAGAATTTCACAGCATGTAGCCGTTTTTATTTAAATAAGGCCAGATCAAGCTGAGAGCTATTTTTTGCATCCCTCCATATCCACCTCTCGCCAAACTTGGGGAAAAAGACGGCGCAGAGCGAGGCTGAGCTCTGTATGTGGTCCTCACAAAGATAGGAAGACGTGTGTGAGATTAGACACGCAGCTCTGCTTTTAATCACGTAGCACCGATGCGACAGCTTTGCAAGCTACTTTTTCTTTCTTTAAAAGAAAATGCGACAGGTGAAGCCACAGCATGGTTACTACCTTATCAATAATTACTGCCTTTTTTTCCTTTCTCTGTGGGTGTGGTCAGCTTCACTCAGCTGCAGGTGGGGGGTCAGCTTCACTCAGCTGCAGGTG